AAGCTTCAATCGCATGTTCTCAAAAATATTATGAAATTACTTTGTTTAATAAGTTTTGATAAATATATGAACGCATTTGATAGTAAAAATATCTTTTCAAAGCTTAGTTGCAGTTTTAGTTAGCTTTTAATGTGTGCGATAGACTTACCTCCACGTGGTGCACCCTGGGCAACGTATACTCATACGGCAAAAAGTCTATTAACCGGCATTTGACTTCTGACTTCAAACTACCACGACTCTCCCTGGTTGTCATATTCGACCCCTTACACAGTACTCACCTTACCTTTTTCTCTACCTTTGTGTCTGTCTACCTCTTTTACATCTGTGAATCGCTCTTCTGTTCCCCACCCCTCGACTTTCTGCTACTTTGAAGAACCTTCCCTCTGTGAACCCCGAAGTCAGCTAATTGGCTAATGATAGCTATCAAAACGCCTGCCATTTGAAATAAATAAAATAAATGTTTACGTAGGCCGTGATTGCCACCATTATTACCAATGGAAATATTCAAGATTTTGTAGCATTTTCTATCAGTGGAAATCGGACAATAAGATCGCTGATTTACCTGGACTTATTACATTGTTTTCACCAAGGAATATATCAAATATTTGCTCAAAAGTCATGAACTAAAGAAAAAATATTATTACAAATGGGAACATTTGTATACATATTTATTAGAAAATCCTATACCTCTTTCATTTCCCATTGAAAAATAAACATTTCGAGGCGTAGGGTTTGGTGAATTCCGCTGAATGTCCCTAGAATGACATAAATTAACTGTAGCGCGTTCAAATTTACTTTGGTAAGTGGTTATTGATTTGGTAGCCAAATGGATTTCACTCGATGATTGTCGAATTTCAGTCTTGCCACCTATGACATGAAGCAAGTTGGCATAAACTCCACTTTCTAATTTGACGGTTACTATAGCTTATATATCCTCTCATGGGGTGCGATAGATTTACCTCCACGTAGTGTACCCAGGGCAACGTATTCTCACACGGCAAATAGTCTATTAACCGGCAGTTGACTCCTGACCTCAAATTGCCATGACCCCACTGTATGTCATTTCGAGCACTTCCATCGTACTAATCTTACCTTTTCTCTGCCTTTGTGTCTGTTTGTGTCTCTTTAACATCTTCGAATCTCTCTTCTGCTTCCCCCTATTCACCTTTTCTCATTTTGATGTTCCTCCCCTCTGTTAAGCCTGAAGTCAACTAAGGGGGTAATGATAAGGGTCATAAAGCCTGCCATTTGAAATATATCCTCTCATTTAAGTCGAACCACGATAATTATTTTTCAGTCTTTTGACTTCTTTTTATCTTAGTGCGACTTTGATCATATTGTCTCTACAGCGTTCATTCAGAGTATAGTAAGGTGGAACTACTTTAAATTCTCTTAATATGGTCAACTAACTACTAGGAGAAACGCAGTTACTGAGATTGCATCTAATAAAAGCCATTTAAATTTTAAATTTAATAAAACCCCGATCGATTTTCTGGTATCTAAAAATGGAGACAAATGCATATCTTTGACTTCATTAATTTCCTTCAGTAACTTTATTAGTTTATTTTTCATAATTATTTATTTTCCAATGTTCGCCTTTTTGAAGCAAATTACTGGCACGATGAAATAGTCTTCACATCTCTCATCACTATACTTGTTACATCGTTCTCGAAAAAAAAACTGAAAATCTCAAATTCACTGGTTCAGAACAAATTAATGTACTGCAGCAGCCCTGGAAATTCGACAATCCATTAAATATTTCCCTGGTGGAATAATCTCAACTATTTTAACATTTTATTAAATTCTCTTCACACTACTTCAGTACAGCGAGATTAAAGTGGGGTTTATCCAAGTTAAGCTACTTATATAAGCTACTAGATGTGATAAGACGATAAATATTAAAGTGTTAAAAAGAAACACAGACCTTTCCAAGACCAGAATACTGGGGGTTATGATAGACTAATGGTTTCTTCAACTATTTTGGGGGGGGGAGGGGGTTGGGAGTTGAGAAGGAAATGTATGAGATCAAAAGGAAGGAGTTAAAAACGCCAAAAACGTTCTTTGGACTCCTATCTACTCTAGTTGGGTATTTTAAGTCACTCTGTAGCCGTTTAGACTGAGCATACACTTCATTCATTAGGAAATTACTTACAGTATTTTCAAATCTTGTATTATTTCATGGTGAATACTTAAACAACTATTAGAAAGAGAGTCAATTTGCTTTAAGTCAATTTGCGAGTACAATTAATCTGTCTCTTATTATGGGATTTCAATTATTTCTGCAGTTTACTATGAACATTAATGTCCATTCAGTTTTCCTATAAAAATGTTGTTAATGCTTGCTCTATGTCCTCTTAAAATAACTCCCTTTTTTGCAATTAAAAGCAAAATACGACAAAAATATCAAATCGAAGTGTAGGTTTACTTGTATATAATTTCTAATTCGTATCATTATTTATATAATAATTATTGATCTTTAATTTTTGGGTAACTTAATATGGTTTGGAATATTCTTTGCGTGTTTTGAGCCGAACTGCAACGACGAAAACATTTTTTCTTTCTTCTTGTTTGGGACAGCGACTAATGCTTTGTAGATCAATTATTCAACGATTTTTCAATGTCACCGCCATAAAACAGTGAGGTGAAGTTAATTTCATAATTTGGAGCAAAGAGTGAATAGATCAACTTAAACGAATTGCTAATTAAATTGCAAGTCCAAATATGACTGACTCATGCGATATTCAAAATCTGCAATAATCTTTGCCACTAATTGCAATATTAATAACGAAAGTGTAATTTACTTTACTGGCTTCTAAAGGGAAAAGTACTCATCACAAAATGTTTTAAAATGAATTTTGAAATAGCAGGTAGGATATCCTGTGGAGTTCTAAAAATAAATACACTAACTACCTCTGCCATATCTTTCAGTTCAGTGGTTTGATCATATCTTTAAAATTTAGCATAGACGAATCAATTACCTGAGATCATAAGAAATCAAAAAATCTCCCCTTTGTGCTCAGAGTTCTCAGGTCAAATGTTGTAGTTCTTTCTCTTTTCTCACCACTTCTTCCTATTTTAAACTATCTCGTGTGGTCAGATGATTGTTTATTCAAAAATAGAATTTTCTGAAGAATAAATGCTTTTCCAGGGAATTTGCGAAATTTCTCCATTTCTGTATTTGTCGATGGTAGTAAAGTTTTTTAATTTTGACCTGCTCGTTTGTTTTAAATATGTAACCTTTTAGAGCAAGTGAAACCAACAAGAGAGTAGAGCATTTAATTCTACTTAACTTTTAATAAAAAAACATCTTAATGCAGATATGCAAATGTGTGAAGAATATTTGATCAAAGGAAATTTATGTGGTCAGTTCTGAGTTTGCCAATAGTTGTGGTTGAATTTGTAATTTGTGGATGGATGCTTTTTAAGAACTGTAAGTAACGTAGTGTAACGCAGTATAAAATTTCCAACGCATGGATTAAATTGGGCTTTATAATTCATAGCTACTTTAAATTGCTCTCAATTTTGTCCATCATGTTGCCTTTTATTTCGAGATAGCAACGAAAATTTGTTACCTAAAGAGTTAGTGCTTGTAAATCTGAGAATAGAAGATGGTGCATACTGCACAAACACCTGTTTGTTATTATTGAAGTAAGCTGAATTCAATTCCGATTGAAAAAGAAATCACGCATTGTTCTAACAATGCAATGACCTATGGTAGGGCATGTAAGATGAATATTTTAGCAAAAAGATCAACAAAGAAACCCGAACTTGACTAAATATATTTCAACGATGGTTAGGTAATTTCAGTCAAGGGAAATATAGAAAATAACAAATTTTATTAGGCTAAATAAAGGTAAAATAGAAGTGGCAAGATACATATCTACTTTACTCATATGAATTAAATTCGAAAGTAGTTAATATTAAACCGAATAAGACACGGTCTTGCAATCCATTTTGCCATCTGTCTTACATAAATATCCCATTTCATCATTCATGTTATTAAGGAAATGGAAAATTTCCTGTTCCATAAGTAATGAGTATTTAAAGCGCATGCAGATTTTATTGTGTATCATAACCTTAAGTAACTTCGTGTTATTAAAACTGTTTTGGAATATAAAACATACTAGAGAAAGTACATATTTTAGTACATATAAGCACTATAAGCTGTAATTGAACAACCAAATAGAAACTGAAAGCTAAGATGATTCCAACAACAGTTGAAATAATAGTTTACAAAGAGCCACAAAAGAAAACTAAGTAATAGTTATTTTGCCCTTGATTAGATTCTCCATATTATTTTGTTCATTGCCATTCTTCAAAATAATTAAAGACCACCTATAGTTAAGCACAAAATAGCTTGGTGTTAGATTTTTAATTGGTAATATTAAACTTGCAGTGTACATAACGGGAAATAAGTCCGTAGTTGAAATCTATAAGATTTACAAATAATCCCGCAATGCTTAAATTCCTAGGTCGCATCTAATCTAAATAGTTAATTAGAATGCAGCTATCTTGATATTTCATGGAGAAAATCGCAGAAATCTTTATGTTAACTGTCTGCATTAACTATATCAACTTTCATGGTTATTAATATTGAAAAAATTAATAATTTTTCTTCATCTTACACTCGAGCAAGAATTAGTGTAGCGGATATCAATGGTGTTTTAGCCGCTGTTAAATGGTTCCAGAGTTCAGTAACCCCAGAAAGACGTGTTAATGAGCTGCAGCTCCTTCGGATGCAAAAACATCCTAATATAATCGAGCTTATTGCTGCAGGTCCAGATATCCACAATGGGGTAATTGAATTTCTATGTACTGAATTCACACCAATTGGTGATTTACATCAAGGTTAGCAAACGCAAGTTGTTTTCTAATTCTTTATTTTAGTTATCCATAGAAGTGATCTAGTCTATAGCTTTTCCAATGCATTTTCTTGGATGCTGCAGCTATCCGAGGCACTCTCTTATCTTCACGAAAAGTCTCCTCCAATAGTTCATCGTGATGTTAAACCCGCAAATTGTCTCCTCTTCGAACTCGGAAGTCTCCTCAAATTATGTGACTTCGGTTCAGCTGAAATGATCTCAGAATCGGCGGATAAAACTCCCCGCGGAACTCAGGGCTTTATGTCTCCTGAATTATTTCGCAAACAATCAGATTTAATTGGTTTTATTCCTTTACTCTAAAATTATTTTATTTTTTTCTGATGATATAGGTTTGAACTACTCAGAGAAGAGCGACGTTTTTTCTGCTGCAATGACATTTTGGGAAATATGTTCTCGTCAATTTGTTATCCCTCAAGATGAGCCAATGTTTGTGACAATTTTACATCTGGTGCGGCATCATCGGCGTCCAAAACCACTTAGTGGATGCCCTCCTTTCCTTCAGTGTCTTCTTGAGAGGTTAGTTTTTCAATTACGATTTTATAAAATTTAGATTTTGGAATCTATATGCCTTTTTAGTTTTTTTGACATCACTTTAGCAACTTGAGTATATTTACGATCTTTGGCACCATCTGTCTAGGACAAAGTTGATATTCGCGTGCCGATTTACAAGCATTTTTTGCATTATTTGTTAATGAGTTTAAGGCAAGAAAATTTTGACACACGCCAGTTATTATCTTCTAGCCAAATGTGCTCAACTTTTCGCAGAGTTAGTATTGAATTTTTTCAAACTTCCAATTATATCAGACGTTTCTGTTTGTTCATGTCACTTAGGCTTATTTACGTTTGCTAATTGTGGTTCAAGAATTTCGACCTGCATACTGGTGTGCTTTCTTTTGCTACGTCGCTGGTATGCCAGTCGTTTCTCTGTTCAATTCGTGAGAATGAAAATTTTCAATGATCATTTAGTCTTTCCAAACGTTATCAATCCTATTCACACTCTTTAAGAACGTATTAGCACGTCTTTCAATCCTAAGGTGATGTAGACCGGCCACTTATACAACGATCCAATTTGAATTCGGTTACGATTGTGAAACCAAATTATATAATATTTTCTCGTGATTCAGATGCTGGGATAATGACCCGGATGTGCGTCCACGGATGGAAGAAATTGTGAAGCTATTGAAAGTCATTAAGGAATGTCTTATCGATGCAGATTTGATCTTTCCATCTGTAGTAGGGCCTCCTCTACCCCTTGATTTCCACTTTTCGCCAAAAAATTCCTCCGATGAGGCTTGGGAAGGTGAAGATATCCAAAAAGACGACGTGGAGATGGAGACATCAATAATACAAGAGTCTCCAGTCCAATTATCTCAGGTGAGTTAGGACTCAATTTTGCTTTTCTCTTTTCCTTGTGATCCTCGTGCATGGGTCAAAAGAAGTATTTCAAGAATCATTCGTTCATTGCTTTTGACCTAGAAAGCTTTAAAACGACTGAATATTTAGTAAGGGAGAACGGTCAGCAGTCAGCATAGCTAAACTGCTGTCGCTGACCCATTAAACTTGATTCAAGCTCAAATTAAAGGCTCTCATCACAGCTTCTTTTGAAATCATCTCTGATATTCCTATTCAATTTTTTTTCAGCAATGTGCGAGTTAACCGAATTTTAACCCCTGCCACTTCATCGTCACCTCTCTGCTGACTTTGGTGCTGTAAAGGTCACGCTAGATTCCCACGCACTAAGGCTGATTTGAATGTACAAAAGTATGCAGGCTGCAATATTCCAAGTTATTCTAAGTCGCGCATTAAATTGCAACTATATTGGAATATTAGTTAATTTACTTTTGACAGTCATGAAATTGAAGTCAATTATCAATTTCAGCATTAGTCAAAGCATTGCAACTTGTTTGTACATGTTCTAGATATTACGAGGTGGTTGGTATAGTATAAAATACTTAATGAACAAATATCTTAATGTTTTTGTTTGGTATTTTTCAGTCGGGGTGGTTTTACTAGTTTCATATTAATGCGAAATCTTACGTCCTGTCACTTTCGGATTTTCTCAAAAATTAATAATTTGTTTCTTACACTTAGCCTCCCCTTTCCTCGCCGTTTCGTTTGGAACTTGGAGAGGTAATCCCCCTGCCTGCTAGTGATGATGGCAATTACCCGGTAAATTTGATTCCTTTCAAATCCAATTAAAAAAACTATTTGGTGCTCTTAAGATGTTCTTTTTTTAGATTTTGAGCTTACGGGAGTCATCTTTTCCATCCACCTCCCGTGGGCCTAATTTGCCTCCCAGAAATACCGAAACTGATTAATATCAGTGAGTAAGCTAAACATTGTGCATTTTATTTGCATTTAGGTATAGTATTTTTGTTTTGAGTAATTGTGTGGTCAATCATAGGTTTTCACCACCAGCGCCCTTTGTTCTGACGGCAAAATGTTACTCTAAACTATGTCAAATTATTGTTATACTTATTTCTTTTTATAAATGACTCTTATCGAGCATAATAATTGACAATTACTACTATAATTTGTCTTGTTCCTTGTGGTCTATTGGGAATCCTTACTAGTTTTTTAAGTAATATGTGGGAGACCAACGCTTTTAAGGCACGGCTCTTCTGAACAATTGCAACGCCAGGAAAGTCAAACTTCTGTCATTGTTATTTCTGTATTCAATAGATATTAATAGGCAATAAGCTACTCAGACAAAAGACCACAGTGTTGTCATGTCAAGACCATTGATTCGTTCAACAGGAACTATTGCGGTAGCAAAGGCTATCGGCCAAAGTGAATTTACCCAGATAAATGGGTGGCAGATCACAAAGCATGCCATTTGAAATAAATAAATTTTGGATCATCACATGGACCAAGATAAGGACGATTTACTAGTCACAGCGGTAACGTGCTAAAAGGAAATGGAAATTTTGCAAACTTATAAGCAGAATGTCGTTATAAACTACAATTACTCTTATATAAAATTAAAATTTTATACACTACCAATTTCATTCTGATTTCAATGTTAAAAGGAAAATAACATAAATTTAAATGAAAATGTTTGACTTTGTTGGATGCCAAATCATAGTGGAAGTTAACTTCTTCTAAATATGACAAAAAGAATAAAGTGGCCTTGTCTCATCTTTGACTTAACCGCGATATTTGACATTATTGGGCTTCTATTTTAGTGATGATAAAACAGTGAAATGATTAAAGACATTTTGCGTTTCGTTAAATCGGTTCCGAAAATAAGATTCGCTTATAAAATCAGTCGGCATGTATGATCAGTCACTGATTTAATTTGCTTTAGTTTCCACCAAAAGCAGCTTTTTATCAAGCAAAACCGGCATTAAAACGATTACTTTTAAGCACGAATCGATGTGGTACGCAGTATTTTTCCCTAGTTAAACGTATGGGGAGGTTACTTTTTGCTCCAATTTCTCATGCACGACCGAACTCACTCATCAGAGCTTCTAATAGTGTATCAACCCTCGTTCGATTTCGATATGAAATGCCCCTAAAGGAGTAAGAATTATTACTTACTGTTAATATTTGTTTTTTAGCTTATGTTTTGACAGCATTTATTCTCCTCTCAAGTCGTACAAAATGTTACCTTTCAAATTTGCAAGGAATGTACGATTTGATTCCATTGATATCGGGAAGTATCTTTCGCACGGAGCCAATGGGGTTGTGTGGGATGCTCAGTGTCCAACTGATAGCGGTATTGGTAGTCATGATACTTAGTCCACAGCCAACTTACTTATTTAATTTTTAATTTATTTTGTTGATTATTGTATGAATTCTAGCAGATGAAGTTGAATCAGGAGAACTTGTAGTAAAGGGATTATACAATTATTATGCTTCCTCAACGGAAGAAGATGGTCTGTCACTTTCAACATCCCCAGATCAATGGACCCTTTTGCATGAACAGCGCGATCGAGAGGTCAACTTACGACCTGGTGGGCATCCCAATATCGTTCCTATTTACAAGGACTTTTTCGGATACGCTCCGTCTTGCGGTAATAAAATAACTCTTGACGGGATTGAAAATTTTCCTGATGGTTTTAAAGGGAACACGCTTACTTATTGGTTCATTATGCCAAGGTAAAATTGATTTAATTTTAACATTTATTTAATTTTGCGTAATTTTCTTGTGCTCTTTTATCGCCTCTGACTGTCTAAAAATCAGAAATTTATGTTCAGTTGTTTAAATATCCTAGCGATAACATTAAGGTTGCTTTTACTGAGTTTTTTTGCACTTGTTTTCTTTCAAAATGCGTACTAATAGCACTTTCTTTTGACATTGTTGTGAATTATTGGTTATAAATATTTTCACACAGTTCTGTCTTTATCTTGTCATCTTTTTCCTTCTCTTAGCTAAATCTTCTGATAGCTTACTCTTTAAATTTTATAATTATCGTTTTGAATTGTCCTGATCGAAGTAGCTGTAGTGGCAAAAAAGCATCACTAAATCGTAGTAACACGCAAAATAATTGCATGACAACAGGTAGTATTGAATTAAAGCCCAAAATTGGCCAGTTTAAATATCGGTGAATCCTTAAAGATATCTGCCATTATGCTTACTAAAATAGTTGAGGTTGAGTGTATAAAGAGAGAATTAGGTCATTGTGTCCAATACCTACTAGTAACCACTGCAACACAAACGAAGGGGCATTAATAATTAGGGGTGAATTGAGGAATAAGGGTAGATACACCTTGAATAAAGACCCAAAATTTATCGCGGAATTGTGAATTTAATTTTGGCTGCAGGGTGGCAGCCTAACGGTAACACCTCACTACTATTGATTGTCTTCTCGATTCATCTGTACTGGTTACTAGGGCGAGCTTGTCAGTAGACGAGCTTAGTATTTCCAAGTCCTCGTCTGGAAATGGCAATGATAACAGTTGGAAGCTGAACCTGTCCATATTGATTTTTTTTCATTATATTTTTCTTTTTTATAGACTTGATGGTTCCCTTAACGGTCTTGTGAAGGACATGCGGGAATCGACTCAAACTCCTTCATCGAATATCGACTCAGCTTCTTCTCCCGTGCGTCAAGAGTGTAAAAGCAAAGAAGAAATTGGGGTCAGTTGCAATGTTGATTCACTATGCATGTCTATTACTTTATTTTAACTGATAATAATGTAGTTTCTGGTGGCATTTATATTTCAATTGTTAAAGTTTGCTAGTGTGAAATAATGAGTTTTTCATCAAAAAGCACCTATCCCTTAGTTTTTTCGTTTAATCTATAATTTTGTGTGTTGAACTATTTTGACACTGTCATTTACTCACCCAATTTGCTGTCTATAGTTTTGGTTTCTACCTAATTTCACTTCATTAATTCCAACTAATATCACTTAGATTTGGTGTTCCTATTTCCAAATATTTTTCTACGCAACAATAGCTATTAGCTATGACTCATAAATCGGTGACCTTGATTCTGGATACTCCAACACTAAATGGTGGGGAATTCATTTTGTAATTAAATTAGCTACTTGAGTTAGTATCCTTTTCATCATATGCCCCTTTCATCTCTTGCCTTATTACTACTTTCGCTTGGGGTGGGGGTTGGGGGGGGGGGAGTTGTTGGTGGGACAAGAATAGTGATCATCAAATTAGAGGTCCAATAGTTGACAGGTAATGGTATACAACCGCAGTCCCGCGTTTAGCAGCACGCTGAGAGCTGAGTCCCGACCAAGCAGTGGTTAGTATACGAGAGGCGTTATGAAAATGCAACTTCTCGTGCCACAAACGTCTCCTTTTTCAAACGTAGGACTGTTCTAATGGAGACTTTGCCGGACGCGTATTATTACCTCCTGAAAAGAATTTGTCGGCCAGATTGTTGTTACAGGAGAGTTAAAAAGTCCGCGAAAAAGATGGAACTAACATCGTAATTTCTGCCTGAGCAAACTCTCGCGGGGGAAGTGTTGAATAAGGAGAATAGTTATTATCCATGAAAATACACTTAACAATTTTGTACTATCTTATTACAATAATCGTTTTGTCTGAGTGAGTGATCGTTGAGTAAATCACGTAACTTACTTATTCTCGCGTTGTTACTGAATTATGGTATTTACTCATCGTTCTATTCACTTTGTAAGACCAGTCCTACCAAGCGTTTGTGCGGTTTTTGAGTGGTAGTTACTCTCAAAGCAAGCGTTGATGCATTTTACTTCTAGTACTGAGACGGTAGTTAAGGCTTTAATTGATAAGTTATTAGAAAAAAATAGCCTAATAAAAGTATTTATTTAATTTTATCAAATGGCAGGCGCTTTGATAGTCATCATTAGCCCTTTAGTTGACTTCAGGCTTCACTTAGTCATCATTAGCCCTTTAGTTGACTTCAGGCTTCACAGGGGGACGGATCAACAAAGTGAAAAAAAGTCGAGAGGATGGAGAGAGAACAGAAGAGTGTTTCAAAGACGAAGGTAGAAAAGGTAAGAAAAAGGTAGGATGAGTACTGTGGAAGGGGTCGAATATGACAAGCAGGAGGGTCGTGGTAGTTTGAAGTCAGAAGTCAACTGCCGGTTTATAGACTTTTCTGCTGTATGAGTATACGTTACCCAGGGTTCACCACGTGGTGGTAAGTCTATCGCACACCCCAGCCTAATAAAAGTTGAATTAGTCTATCGGTATGCACTTACCAATCAATTGAATCAAGCTAAATGCCAGTATGTGGAGACGCTCCTTCTCAGGAGCGTTTACTAATTGTTAGACCACACCCACCTCTATTTTACTCGAATTTTGATTGGAATTTGCCCAATTTAATTAAACAAGGCATGATCAAGATCGCAAATCACCTTGCCTAATTTCGAGATACTTTATAACTTTTCAAGCTCATTAAATTCGTCCCTTGATTTTACTAATAAGTGGGATGTCAGGACTAATTTTTTTAGGAATTAGTACCAACGCCTTCCACTTTACGCAATGAGTCATGCCAAGGCGATTGGAGTCCGGTAAAACAAAGGTCGTAGTTACAATGTTTTTTTCTAATGCGGCGTATTTTCCACAGGTTAGCGTAAGTGCCCTACTCTCGTTATTGATTTTCGAGCGCACATTGCTACCGCCACCTTGACAGTTATCTGAGGGCTAAAATTGTTATCAGTCTGGTTTTTCTTAATGCCCTAACATCGACATTAAAATGTATAGGGGTTAGCCGCCTTCTGGGGACGTGGTGCGCCCTGGGCAACGTATACTCATACGGCAAAAAGGTGTATTAACCGGCAGTTGACTTCTCACTTCAAACTGCCATGACCCCACTGTATGTCATATTCCACCACTTTACGATACTCACCTTACCCTTTCTCAACCACTGTTTCTATCTCTTTTACATGTGTTAATCACTCTTCTGTTCCCCCTTCTCGACATTTTGCGACTTTGCAGTACCTCCTCTTTGTGAAGTCCGAAGTCAACTAAAGGTCTAATGATAACTGTCATAAAGCCTGCCATTTGATATAATTGATATCGTAACACCGGAGGTATATCTCCTATCGGTACTACTTAACAGAAGTGAGTAGTTGTAGACAAGGATTGGGATCTAAACGTCGCTGTCTGACAGAATTGAACTCACTTGTTTATCGACATAACTGAACTTTTATATCCTGAATTTTTTGACTCATTTGGATCATGTCGATTTTAATTAGCTCTGACCTGGCCTGTTCCTAAATTATAATTTTCTCCATTCCAGGAAAGCGCTGAATCTGTCCCCTCAAATCCGACTTTCTCCCTTCCACCCGAAGAGGCAGTTTATATTACAGTCCAGATGATGGAGGCAATAGCTGCACTGGAACATCATCAAATCTCTCATCGGGATATCAAACCATCCAACTTTCTCGTCAAAAGTCGCAGCCATCCTGGTAATTCCAATTTACTCAACGGTAAGACGGTGATAGCTTTGTGTTTGAATTGTATGCCTCTAATTACACTGACACCGAGTTGAGTTCTTGACGCCCTCATATATTCTCTGGAATAAAAGCAGACGTAGCTTTGTAATCGTACTATTATTCATTACAACTTGAGAACCCCCGTGTGATAGTCTTCTGACATTTTGAGCACATTTTATTTCATTCAGTCCATGTATTAGGTTGGCAACTAAGTCATTGCCGATTTCAAATAAGAAGGCAAATTCGGAATTTTTGTTTAAAAATATAACTTTATTCAATTAGATATTGGCCGTTCTTGTCGATGACCTTTTTCCATCGTTCTGGCAGACTAAAAATTCCCCGTTCGTAAAATGTCTGGTCTTTGCTATTAAAAAAACTGAATTAGGTGTGATCCGACATCATCCGCGTTGTTACAAATTTTACCATTTAAAGAGTTTTGCATGGAACGAAACAAATGATAATCCGAAGGTGCAAGGTCAGGGCTATATGGTGGGTGTGACAAGA